TTTTGTTATCCCTGACACAGGGTCTTACTGTTGCCTGAGCTAGAATACAGTGGCATGATCATAGCTCACTGCAACCTCAAACTGCTGGGCTCAAGTGATCCTCCTGCCTTCGCCTCTCGAGCAGCTGAGACTACAGGTACATGCCATTATGCCTGGCTAATATTTTATTTATCAGTATTTTTTTGTAGAGGCAGGGTTTCACTATGTTGCTTAGGCTGGTCTCAAACTCCTGGCCTCAAGCGATTCTCCTGCCTCAGCCTCCCAAAGTACTAGGATTAGTGAGCCACTGCACCCAGTCTATTTTTATCTTAACAACAGTTATCAATACCCAAATTATGTTACATTATACATCTGTGCCATGTGTTTAGCATATCTTTGTCCACTCGAATGTTACTTCTTTAAGACATGAACTCTTTGCACATGGCTTTATCCCCAGAACCTAGGACAGCAGCAAATCCATAGTTAGGTACTCAATATAATAGTTGTTGACTTATTATTAACTTATTAAATTATGCTCTCAGACATCTAAAGTACAACTTAAGGCATAACAAAATTTTTCCAAATGACTAAAAATCTATAGTGTAGTGTAGCACTGAAAATAACAGATACATTGTTGGACTCTATTAGTAATATCTTTAACTTAAAACAGAAAAAAAGTTACAATTTTAACTTTCAATACACAAGCCAAGATACATTTTCACAAATCTAAACCCCTTCCCATTTTTCCCACTGCATTCTTTCTGAACTTTCAGTTGCATTTACAACACTGTGTCCTCCTAGGTCACTGGAGTGAGGCTCTGGAAGGAAGAAAGCAGGGGACCCTATCCTGAACTACACCACCTATTAGAGAAAGAGTTAACACTTAGGATGTAACCTTTGTGCTTTACTTTCCTCAGCCATAAAATAGGAATAAAAATAGTTCCTGTCTTATATAGTATTGTTGTGGATATTAAATGCACTAACACATATAAAGTGCTTTGAACAGTGCCTGACAGCGTGTAAAGTAAAAATAAATGTTAGCTATATTCATTCTTTTTATATCTTTGTAAATCCACCAAGCCTGGCAAAATGCCTTGCATATACTGAGTTCAAAATAAACGTTTATTAAATAGAATTGAATTAAACCCAAGAATAAAGATTCATAGTGAATGGGGTGAATGCTTCGATCATCCTACAAAAGCATACTGAACGCTTGCTGAGTGCCAAATACTCCGTGAGACCTAGGAATAAAGGTGAACATAAGAGGAAGAGCTTGAAAATATGTCTATGATTTAACTTGCAGCCATTTACTGAGCCCTCTTTAATGTGTCCGACAATTTTCTTTCGTGTTTTACTTTGAAGTATATATATGTATAATATATGTGTGTATAATATATATGTATAATATATAATTATATATATATATAATGTATGTATATATATTCTGGTTGCAAATGCAATCATTTTTTAAGCAATCCTGCCAGTGGAGGGAGCAATGCAATGAAAAAATCAATACACATGTTGTACACCAAAAAAGAATTCAAACTTTATTTTGAAATACATAATATCATTTCACAAAGGTTTGAATTCCTAACTAATCTTTCCCTCAGGCAATATTAAAATCAGTACATAACCCAAAAAAGAGGGTTTGGGAGGCTGAAGCAGTTTGATCTCTCGAGGCCAAGAGTTCTAGATTAGGCTAAGCAACATAGCAAGACCCTGTCTCTATTTAAAAAAAAAAAAAACAACGAAATAGCTGGGTATGGCGGTGCACACCTGTAGTCCCAGCTACTTGGGAGGCGGAGGCAGGAGAATCACTTGAGCCCAGGAGTTTGATTTGCTGTGAGCTAAGCTAACGCCACCGCACTCTAGCCTGGACAACAGAGGGAGACTCTGTCTCAAAAAAAAAAAAAAAAAAAAAAAAAAAAAAAAAAATTTGCCTTAAAGAACTTCAAAAGGGAGAAAAGAAAAAATTAAAATAACTAAATAAGGTAAATGTTTTCTTTTTAGTTATAACCTATCTGTAGTCAAGAAAAGAAAAAAAAAAAAAAGAATGCAATTGTTTCTGTCCAGGTGTGTGAACAGGGAGGGACCCTCCTTCGTTCAGGTGGGATGCAAGCTTGGAAACTAACTACATGCTTAACTATGAGGCCAGTGCAGCTGAGGCCAACGCGGGAGAAGTGGACACAGCTGTGGGCTCCAGACCAGGATCCGTTGAGTAAGGCTGAAGAGTGACCCTACATCCCTTTAGCTGGGCCTGCGCGCGTGAAGGGTGGTGAGGCAGGGGTGCAAGGAATCGAACGTACCGTGTTGGAAAAGGAGATTCCGGCGTCGGACTGCTGCACCCTGAGCAGCATCTGGTTGCCATCGTCCAAGAAGTTGTTGATTTCAAGACAGTTGTACAGCAGTGGCTGGTCCCAGGGTTCCGACATCAACCCGAAGTAATTCTGGGTAGTAGTGAAGATGAAGAGCTTCCGAACGTCCCCGGTCCCGCTCGCCATGATGGGGGTGGGGAGGCCGGGGGTAGAGGCGAGGGAGGACGGGAAAGAAGGAAGGAAGAAGAAACCAGACCGGAGGGAAGTGAAGGGAAGACCGGAGCTCTGCTCAAACCCGGAGCCCGCCCGCCGGAAGGCAGAGCTTCGCAGTTGCCAGGGGCAATCGCTATGGCGACGGAGCGCTACGGCGGCGACGCCAGCGGCGCGCAGGGAGCGCTGCCGTCCCGGGCACGCGCACGCAAAGCTCTCGGAGGCGATCGATCGCCTCGGAGCTCCGTAGGTGCTCCCCGCGGTTATCGATTGTAAAGGGTTCTGGCAAGTTTGTGTTGGCTCCCAAAATATGGCTTTTATTCTTCCTACTGATTTCTTGTACTGCCTAATCAGGAAATATACGTCTAGCCTTCTAGTGCAGTATCGTGACCTGGAGTTAGGAGAGTTGGGTGCTAGGGCTCCCTTTCCACGTGCACTCGTTAGCAAACCACTCTGTCAGCTTCAAATGCCACATCTGTAAAATGGGGAAATCCTATCTCACAATCAAGGTTGTACTGAGGATGTTAAGAGCTTGCTATTTTAAAATTGCTTTTTAGAGAGGCTGATAAAGAATAGGAGTTCAATACAATGTTAATTTACTTTCTCAATCTCCACTCCTTTCTGTCTGGTTCTTTTCCCATTATTTTGATTTTTTTAATCCTGTTATTTCAGAAAAATTACCAGTTTTTCATTAAAATCATTACCCAAACACAACCATATTTTTAAATAGCCAAAATATACAAGATACTTGTTAGCTTATTTTATAACAAGTGCAACCAAATACTGAGGAAATACAGAAATGAAAACAGGCTTCATTATTTTTTACCCTATGTCAGCACTATAAACTACTAAACTGCTGGTCATTTATACCAACATTCGTCAAAGACTCTCTCAGTTCAGTAATTCTCTTCTAAAAGTATTTACTACATGCTACTATCTGCCAAGTACTGAACTAGGCCCTTGGGGCACAGTCCTTGACTTTACAGAGCTTTTGCTGTAGTCCAGGGGTGGGGAACCTGCAGCCTTAAGGCCACATGTGGCCTTCTAGGCCCTTAAGTGTGGCTTTTTTTACTGAATCCAAATTTTACAGAATAAATCCTTTTATTAAAAAGGGTGCAGCAGAGAAAGATGAAGGTTTTTCTTGCCTCCTTTGGTGCTTAAAAAAGAATAATCTAGAAATCA